TAATGCGTTTATGAATTGTGGGGATCTACTGAATGTTTATCTCAACATAGTAGGAAAAACGGTTACAACCTCCGTGTAAACAGAAGCCAACAAAAGGCCAAGTGGATAAAACCACTGAACACTTATCATTGGCCTCTTGCCAATGTGCTGATCACGTGGAGATTTCCGGTCTTTCTTCACGTTTATAACTCCTAAATGGGCAAGTTTTCCATTGAAAGTCCCCATCGGCAAATCTCGTTTTCTCTCAGTTATACCTGAACTCTCGCTTTATTTCTTGTTGGACGAGAAAGTGGCCACTGGCACCTCTGGCCGTTGCTTTATGGAACATATTTCTTCAAAATGTACTAAGAGTGGAAAGAATAAATTCTGTCGTTGCGTGAGGCAGTCGGTGGGTGAGCAGGCCCGCCACCTGCCACCTTCTGCTTTATGGACTTTATTGGGAGTTTTATCAACAAAGTTGATAAAATCATGCGCTAAAATTCCATAAAATTTTGATTTTATTTAATGTGTAATGTGAAGATTTAACATGAAAACTTGATATTATTTTTTTTCAGGTGTTCAATGCATTATACACCGTATTCAACATGTTGCTGAACATACGTGATATCATGTTGGGAACAACTTCGGCATGCATCGATAATAAACCTACGTCACTGTTTAATACTACTCATAGTATCTTACAGGAGTAAATGTCCTTAAGTCCATAACAAACACACATTACACGAAAGCGTGAAATATAGTACCAAATTGCACTCATTTATGGGTTTGATGGTATTGTTATGTAACAGATAATAATTAATCATATATTTATAAAAGAAAAACAGCTATATAAAGACTTGTAAAAAAACGGAATGTCTACAACGATCTTTTGATTCAAGTTTATGTCCCACAAAAGAGATTGGGGGGAAAAGTATATATTTTTTCAACAACAATTGGAGAACAAAATTTTATTCAAGAAACCTATTGCCATGGGTGACAAATGGGCAAGTTGGTACAGAAAGAGAGGAAACAGAAGAGATCTTGGAACCATTCGGATAAGAAGAGAGAAATAATAAAGAAAGACGATTGTTGGATTTATGTAACAGACAAATACATTGTCGAGATACAACTATTGAGTCGTCATAGACGACTCAAAAGTTGTTTCCCGACTTGGTAGTTTTTGGTAAGAAACTATTGGTAAAAATCTGGTAGTTTTTTGTAAGAAACTACCAGATTTTTAAATATACCTCGTAGTACAAAGGATATCCATGATTTCTTTCCATGTTTGCTCTAGCAAGTTATTCATGACGCTGGCATTGGCATTGAGCAATTCGGTCTCGCAAGACTTGCAGATTGATCATTTTCGTGGCATAGACATCGTCGTTGAGATAACCTCACAGAAAAAATCTAGGAAAGTGGTTTCGGGAAACAAGGCGGCCAGTGGATTAGCCTACCATATTCAATCCATCATCCTAGAAAAGTGTCATTCAGAACACGTACCTGTAGGGTAGAATGAAGTGTTGTGTCACGTTGAAAGTTAACGTGTGATCCCGAGTTTCGAGTAATTACAGAGAAATTGGAAGATTGAAAAATTCGATGCTTTTTTACGAATCAAGTTATTTAAAAACAAAACAATAAATGGTTTAATTATATTCCTTATGTAACAATTAACGTAAAAACAAAAATCATTATGGTCTGTTTGGGGGAAAACGAAATGCTTCAACATCTCCAGGTAGTTTTTAGCTTTCGGTGCTGACAGCGAAAAGTAATAACTGGTTGGACATGTTAGAAAAATCTCAGAAGAATAGACCAAAAGCATGTCATGTCTCAGGCCACATCAGTTTTCTTCAACACTGTTAACTACTCCTTTACAACGTGAAGGTTTTCTAAACCCCTGATGGGCATGTTATCTCAGTTTGCATTTCCAGAGACATAGAAAATGGCCTCGTCTGAGAACGTTGCCATATCCAATAATCTTGCTTTCGTGTCAATTCGATGTAGAATAACTACAGCAAACGATCGTCTTCTAGGTTTGTCATTAGATTTGATTTTTCGCAACATTGGATCTTGTAGGCATACAGTTTCAGCCGTGTGCGTATTACATTGTGCATCTGCACTACCGGTATGTTTTCGGAATTGATTTGCATGAACTCTCGATGAATTCTCTACATGATCGTCATACACTCTTGTTTGATCTATCTCTATGACATTGTTGCCAGAAATTTGCGATTCTCTTCACTGATACCTTTAGAGCCTGTAGGGAATTTTGTACTCACATGTTGCAAGTGACTCTGCACAGTAATCACAGAGTTACAGTCATAAAACCATGCCACTGCTTGAACCTTCTCCTGGGAAGTTCGAAACTCGCTTGTTCTTATGAGGTTCAAACTGTGCTGAATAAAACTTGATATTGTAACTATGCCTATGCCTCCCGTCACGTTTGGCATATATCACACCGAACTTTTCATTATAATTTAAACTCGGGGCAGATCGTGGTTATTCTGTAAATGTAAATTATATAAATGTGTTAATATGCAAATGATATTGTTTACGACCGGGGTAAATTTACCTTTCTGCTTCTCGTAGGCACGGAAAATGGCTCACCAGTGGCATTCCCTAAACGTTAAGAGTTCGATGGTTAGTTCGCGCCTCGACAGGACAAGCTGGCCACGTGGAGTTTACCGGGTTTTCTCTACGTCTTTAACGCCTGAATAGGGGCCAGTTATTCTTAAAAGACCTCCCGGAAGGCATTATTCCCAGCGTAAAAACAATATACATCTACTAATTACAGTTCTGTCACATCTTACCACCATAGCTTACAACCTCTCATCCAACGCGTAGACAAGACAAGGAACGGTAGATTTTGCCACTTCTAATCATCTCAGACATTAATTAAAATAAATAAAAAGTATTTTACGTGTTTAAAATTAATGTATTTATTGCTAGTAAATTACCAGTTCGTATTCTTAGATGGAAAAAGTTATGGAACATATTTCTTCAAAATGTACTAAGGGTGGAAACACACTTCTTACAATGCTGTAAGTATCATACGTTGCAAATGAAGAACTTTGTAAAATTTTTATTATTTATGTATTTATATATTCTATAATAAATAATTAATTATTGTAATACTGTGTATTTTTACTGTTGTGTATTTATTTTTGTAATTTGTTTTTGTCCCTCGCATCATTAGTAAAACTAGTATGTATGAATAAATAAATAAAATAAAAAATACAAATGGAAAAGAAATTAAAATATAGAAATGCACATGTAGACACTTTGAATTGTTTTTGCTTGTCCATTCCACTCTGTTGATGAATAAAATGGTACGGATTCACTTCAAACTGACATTCATTGCACTGATGTGGATTGGACTTGAATCTATATCTTTTTTCTCTGTAACCAGCCAGTAACTATTCTATTCTTTCTGCTTAGCATTATTAATTCATTACTATTGTTAATTTAAGGCTATAACGTCTTTTAGGGCTTATGGTACATGGAGACGATTTCTAGCTTTTTGTTTTTATTTAACATGAAAATACAATACTTTAAAGTTTTCAGCCTACTAAGAAGTATACATTTCGGCATCAGTTTACAGCTTTATCTATCAAATATATGTAAAAACTTTTAAACTATGTTCACGATCTTATATGATTCTTTTCTTCAGCAACATTCATTACTCTCTTCTGATCATTCATTTTGTCGAAATATCCTTTAAAATAATTAATGAAATATGGAGTAAACTAAACGATACAAATACACGCTTTGGCATTAGTGTTAAAAAGCGTTTAATCTTTAACGATTCGCACTCATTCGAGGTGGAGAGCAGCAATACGAAAAGTAATACTTATTTAGCTGCTTAGAAAGCCTTTTAGAAGCTAAAGATTCCTGTTATTACTTCATTTAAACATGGCACAACTGCCCTTAGTTATCAAAATACAATTATAACGTAATTAATAAACAGGAAAATCGTTTTATACTCGATAAGTCTTCAAGTTAAACCGATCTGATAATGGGGTAAACGAATACTTCGGAAACGTTAGAAATAATTAAATTATTGTAAAAGAAACCACTGATTTGTAAGTATTATTTCAGTTTAAAATATAAATTAAAGTGATTTTTATACTTGCAATGTCGTTTGTAATGCAAAATGGCACAAATCGCTGAAAAAATTACTCTTTTACTATTTAATACTTGCGAGGAAGATTCGCAAATATATTGGCATCTTATGAGAATAACAATACTTTAGATAGGGTTGATGTGATAAAACAATCTAAGACTTAGATGATACTCCAAGAAATGGTTTTCGTGTAGGCTTTTTATGAAAATATGACTTGTATTTAGGTGTTAGGCACGCCAAGTAAACACGCAAAATTTCTTGTGGCCAGCCCATTTGATCAGCTGCATCTTTGAACAAATTATCATAATTCAGTAGGCTTATCCACTTGGGCTCTGGTGAACAGAGCTACAGATGGTATATTGGGATTTGGTTTTATCCGTATTTATCATTATAAAATAAAATTTCTTTTTCGAAAAACACAACTTTTACAGAACGATTGATGGAAATTGCGTAGACACTCTAAACTACCCTGGAAGGCCCGTAATGGGACTTTGGAGTCATATAATGTCTGTTACTATCTAAATTTCGTAAAGGTTAAAAAAAACAAAATATGGCATTACACAGTTTGTTGTGCATTTATGTTTAGTATTTAATGTGCTGCTTTGCGCTGTTGTACTAATTTACCATACTTGCAACGTCTATCGAGTTTCGACATGAAATTTTGTACTATGTAGAAAAATTTTATGTTTTTTACATTAAAAAAAACATGTCATTTAGGGATGAAGTTATTTTTGCACCAAGTTCTACTCGTTTTAAATTACGTTACTGCGGCTGGTCCCATTTTTTATGACTATCTCTAATTAACGTGCAACGTATACTGCTGACCAAATCAATGAAGTACTATGTTTTTAATTTATAACATTTTATTTTTAATACATTTAACAGTAAAATTAGTCAAAAGGATAATAGAAACTTCTTAATACCAGAGATATAAAACTATATTAAAATAATTGGTAATTGATGTTTCAGTTTGAATTTTGTATTCAGACATACGTTTTGTTTATTTATTCTCTTTCACTTTCTTTCTCTTCATCCCCGGATTCAGTTGAGGTATGTCCTATTTTCATTAACAATCCCTGCAGGATTGGAATTAAGGAATACGATCTTAATTGCCTTAAACGTTCCTTCATGGTTTGAGTAAAGTGTTCTTCTTCCATCAACAGTTCCTGCGGGGTTAGACTTGACAAGGTTCTTGTTTGCATTTGTGGTTCCTGCAGGGTTTCTGTTGAGAAACTTACTAGGTGCATTGATAGTTTCTGCAGGATTGGAATGAAGAACGATTCTGCTTGCGTTTGTGGTTCCTGTGAAGTTTGAGTTAAGAAATTTCCTGCTTGCATTAATAGTTCCTGCAGGATTATATTTGAAAAACTTCTTGTTTGCATCTGTGGTTCCGGCAGAGTTTCACTCGAGGAAGGTCCTGCTTGCATCCGTGGTTCCTGTAAAGTTTGAGTCGAGGAATGTCTTGCTTCTATTTGCGGTTCATGTAAAGTTTGTGTCGAAGGTTTTGCTTGCATTTGAGGTTCCTGCAAGGTTTGCAGTGAGGAAGGTCCTACTTGCACTTGTGGTTCCTGAGGTGTTAGCAATGAGGAATATTTTGCTTGCATCGATCTTTTTCGCATGGATTGAGTTGAAGAAGGTCTTGCTTGTGTGCATGATTTTTTTAAGGTTTCAATTGAGTAAGGTTTTTGTTTTAAATGTTGTTTACAATGCATTTTATCGCATAGTTCACAGCGGTAACGGGGTCCTTCAGATTTGTGTACTGTTTTTACATGCTTTCGTAATTTTATTTCACTTTTAAAGTTTTGAGTAAATCCTGTACATTTATCAGGTTGTTTTTCTGTATGAAGTGTCTTGTGCACTTGCTCTTTTTGTTGCTGTTGATCTTTCAGGTTCTGTTTTTTCGAAGTTCTTTCATGTCTGTATCCGTGGTTGCAGGTTTCACTTACATGATGTTTTAGTTCCTGGTGGATTTCCGTGTATCTTTGTAAATTTTTTGAATTTGGAAACGTTTCTGGGCATTTTACATTCTTGTATCTTTCTTGTGTGTGAGTCATCTGATGGAGAACATATGAACTTTTTTTAGGGAATGTCATTCCGCAATCATCGCATTGAAATCCCATTGTCTTGTACTTGGAGACACTGTAAAAAACAATAAACGGCTTATGAGTCAGGTATGAGTTTTGTGGTTCGCAGAACGTAATAAACACTGATTTCCTGATTTATTTCTCTATTGAATAGAGAAATGAATTAGGAAATCATAACGAAGCAGTAGTTAAGAAGTATGGGTGTGTAATAAAGTAAGCGATGCACCTTGCTAGAAATTATCATTATGAACAAAGCTAATAAAAAATTTCGAAATTTATACTATAGGCCAAAATTTTTGTAATTAAGACCACGTCACATATTGTTACGCGTAAATACGTATAGATAAAGTATAGAGATTGACAACTACAACTATCTGTAAATAACAATTCTTAAACAATTTAATTAACAGAATGCAGCATGGAAGGAAAAGTAAGAAATAAGTACAGTAGACCCCCTATAACGCGGGTTCCTAAAATGAGGATTCTTATAACGCGGCGAAAAAAATGCGACAGTATTCGTATAAAGACGCTAAAAGAGACGCGTAAAACGCGGTAAAACGTCATTTCCGACTCGTGTCGCGTCAGGGTTGGTCGAATCTGGACTCGGTAAGTAATCCTACAATTTTTTGTTTATAACATAGTTTATACGGATTATTCCCAAAAAATTATACGTATTTTGGAAATATTGAGTCGAATTAGTCTAGAATCGATTAATGTTATGGAAGAAAACCTTTTAAACAGCCATAGTCGGTAAACTTCACACGTGTCGGGCTGTGATTGGCTCATGTATTTAAGGGTTCTTACAACGCTAAATTCTTATAAAGCGGAACGTATCTACCGCGTTATAGGGGGTCTACTGTATTACGTAAACTTCTAACTTAATACTTATGTAAGAAATAATAATTAATAAGTGTACAAGTGAAGTTCGTTGAGCATTTATTCGCCAATGGCCATAATAAATAAATGGTGTGTAATATTTTACAGCAACACGAAATATCAGGAATGTGGAATAGAAGGTCGGGAAGTGAAAGAAGGTTGTTACGAATGCTAAAAATTGAAGAGCATTGCGACAAATGTTTGAGAACGAAGATGCAGTTACCTTAGTGAATGTAGATAAAACGTTTAACTGTCATCGAACATACATTAATAAAACACTTATCCGTACTTTTGCGGATTGAGTAGCATGCTGCATATAAGCGGGATAGACCAGGATGAAGAAAAAATGAAAATACGGTATGAAGATGGAGAGGATGAAGGGCCCCAGAGTACACTCTTGAAGAAAATTCGAACGCAATGCAGATGGCTTGTAAGAAATTTGGCACAAATAGTATACAAGAAAAGTCGGCGATCAGAAAATAACGGAAAACTGATCCAAAGAATCAGACTTTCATTTGAAGACCATCCAAAGAAGTCGCGAGTCTATCAAAACAAACTTACGGCTCATCGAAGACCATGTGCCAAATGATCACGTACAGTTGACCCCCCCCTATAACACTGTTGATAATTCATATAAAATGGAATTTCATGTTGTACGAATCACTTAGATTTTACAAATACGTGTGCTGTGAATAGCTCACATATTTGTAAAATCTAAGTGACTCCTACAACATGGAATTCATATAAAACGGAATTATCAATAGTTCTATAGGGGGTTCAACTGTACATGTTAATAGTACAATTTTTCGATAAACTATTATGCTTTAAAACAGTAAAAATCTTTGTTTTATTCTTTTAGAGAGTAAAATAAACGAAAGACATTCATCTTTCGAAATTAATGATAATTAAAACCGCTGAACAACTAATGCTTAGCACAACTAATTGTGTATGATTACTTAAGTTAAACATTCCATAATACTTTTGGTTGTCAAAATACCATTAAAACATAATTAATAAATAAGAAAATACGTTTTATAAATGATAAATCTTCGAAAGAAACACATTTGATTAAAGTGCAAAGAAATATTTGGAAATCATCGAAATAATCTTATCGTTTTAAAATTAAATAGTGAAATTATTAATATAACTGCAGCGTAAAATATAAATTTAAGTATTATTATTATTATACTTACACAAATCTTTCTTTATTTACAAAGCACCAATCTGTACTTTTTTTGTCTTCAAGTGTTGCATTCACTATTTAATTACCATAAATGTACTTTCTGTTTACGATGAAGGAGCAGAATTTTAATTGTTTTTTGTTAATAACAAACAGTTTTATTTTGGTTTCTGTTTTCTAGAGGAATTAATAACGTTTGTGGAGTTTGAAAAGGGATTGGTATATTATTAATTTACATAATTCAATGAATGGATTTCAGCAGCAAAGTCTAAGCAATTTACCCTTTATTTTTGTTGAAATTATATAAAAAGATTGTTTAAAAATAAAATTTACTTATACTAGTTAATAATTGTGTTCAAATTTGATCGAATTTAATGAACTAATCTCGTTAAAATTGTGGCATTATCCGGTAAAATGACATTAATCCAGTGTCATTTGAAATAAACGGTTTTATCGGTTTACTTATCTAGTTGTATTAAAATCGACTTATCGTTCCGTAACTACACAGGCACAGCAAAAGGCTCGGGAAGGACAAGGCTTCCAAGTGAAATTAGCAGAAAGATAAGTGACCGGATATTTCGCCGAAAGTTCGTTTATTAAGTTACGGCAACAGCAACACTTGGGGAATCTGCCTAGGGGTATTCTTTTCGGTAAAACTTTTTTTAAGGGTAACTGGCTCCTATTCAGGCGTTAAAGATGTGTAGAAAACACGGAAAACTCCATGTGGCCAGCACGTTGTAGTGAGGCGCGAACCCATGACCGAACTCTCGGTGTTCAGGGTACGAAGAACGCTTGGCCACTGGTGGGCAAAAAATAAACTTAAAACGGTTACGACAACATCGGTTTAGTGTGGTGAAAGTTCAAAGGTCGCGATTATTGAACTTTCGATACAAAGGTGATTTGCTGGACACTTAAAGTGTAGGAACATATTCGGTATCCTAGCATTCTGGCGTCATTTATGAGGTTAACAGCTTTGTGGTGGCTTAAGTATAATTTTTTTTTATCAATCACTCATTGAAAAAGCAAAAAGCGTTCGAAAAATTACAGCTACTTGATAAACTACAAAGCAGACAAAGCAACTCGGCATTTGAACTATGCCTAAACCAGCCTTTGTCCACAGAATAACAATACAAAAGTACTAGTATGTAAAAGAATCATTTGTATAATGAATTTTTATATGCCGTCTAAATTGTATTAGCTTTACAAATGATATTTTAAATAATCACATATTACCAAATAAATTCTGCAAATGCTGCCTGTCAATAAGGTCAAAAGTACTAGTGTGTCTTTGTATTGTTATTGTACAGGATGTATTAAAAAAGTCTTACGAGTAATTCTTCGTGGTGGACGGTTTTCTAAAGAGCGATAATTTCGGAAAAATCAGTATAAAATTAAATTTTGGTTAAATTTTGTTACCTTAGACTAAACAGCTAAGCTAACAAACGATTTTTTTTTCATTTATTGCCTTTTTTTTAAAGCTTAAATATAAACGTAAACATAAAAACATAGCAAATTCATCCATACCTGTTATCAAATGTGTTCAAAATTTTCTAGATTACTTTATAAATGACTTTAAAGAACACTTACAATTCGAAATATACAGAACATAACGGATTTTAACCACGTGATACACCTAACCAATAGAAAATTTGACAACCCGTTGTTCCTACTATAATCAAGTTACTCTACTTTTAGGAATTAGTGTAGTTATTCCGTGATTAATTAAAGCCATTTGGTCAGTTTGTCGGTTTTTTGCTGCGTTGTTGATCATTTTACTTATACCAATGTGTATTTTTTAAAAATACGCAGATACTGCGTACCTTACAGCAGAAACTACCCGATATTTCCCCGAAACAATGTTACAACGACGACAGAGCTGTTTATAAAGTTGTAGTATTCAGAGTATTCTGTAGCTCCAACCAACAATCCAATTGACACAAAAATTTAAGTACGAGCTATTCAAAGAACTCGGAAAAGGATTCTGCAAAGAGAAATTTTACTTTTAAAATTCTTCGCAACGGATAAAGTGACGCTGCAAGCAACTGTGGTAATGTTACACCTTAAGAGACATAAGTTGCGGTCGGCTATTCATCGTTTTCCAGTTTAATCTAACGATGTGTAACATATCGAACAATCTTCTCTGCATCACTAAGCAAGCTGCACCTCAGGTTGTTTTTTTTTTTTAAAATGGAATCACAACTAGTGCCCACAGGAAAAGCCTGGCCGAATATGCTTGCAAAAAAAGGACTTTCCGTTCCCACTGGGAGGAAACAGCTAATGGATGTCGTTGGTCCTGATCATCGTCTTAATCCCACAACGGGAGTGTCAGGATGGTAAGGGATGTAACTAGATGTATCCACAGAAACGTTTGTGGATCTGACGTGGTTCGTGCATTGCGTTGCCTTATTCGATTAACCCAGTGGTTCGCAAAGTGGGCACTACCACCCCATGTAAACGGTAAATAAATCTGATGGGCGAAAATAAAGAAGAGGACGGATAGCGTTTAATGGTTTCCAGATGTTGTAAACGATGTACGGTGAGGTCACAGTGTAGTTCATAGAAAAGTTTCCAAAAATATTTTTAAGCCTTTATCACACAAGGGAAAATGCGTTAGAGGGCAATAGGGTACGGTCGAGGGCATTGGATATAACTACGGATCGAAAAAGTTTGGGAATTACTGGATTAATTAACCCAAATCAAATCACACGATCCCCATGATTTATGATTAATGCGCCCATAAATCATATTGCCATTATAAAGCCCATAAATAGGACTTGAGATATCGTTCTCTATCTCTCACCTCATACTAGATACCTAGAAGACGTTTCTAAACTCTACGGTATCGCCACAGTTTGCCGGTAATAATATGTAAGTGTTTAACGTTAATTAACTTAAGTAACAATTTCTATATATTTCTCATTGGGAAACTATCGATCTGTTATTTAATCAAAGCCACGATTTTAATAATTTAATCAATGAAGTAGTTTCTGTTTATTATTAAAAACTCTCGATCCACTAATGGAAATATTCAATCAAGCATTAATCAAGCATTGCATTAAGAATAGTACATCGACAAAAGTATTTTAGGATAATAAAAAAGGCTTTTTGTCAATCTTTATCTATGTACCGTATCGATTTTTATCTATAAAAAGGAAGATTTAATAGAAAATATTGCATGCAAAAACATTATTGATCGAACTACCATTACACTAAATCACTCGGATGCTATTAGAACGAATTAAGTGACTTTTATTGTTAATTTCCTCTAATGTTATTCTTATGCGCCAGGATTATATATTATGTTATTACATTATGGAAGATACAAGAGTATTCAGGGCAAAGCATGAAATAATATTGACAAATTATAATTTTTGAAAGAAATTGGATTGACTTGAAGAGATAAAGCGATGCACAGTTGAATGATTCGTGAAAAGTGAAAACTTTCTACAGAAACTGGTCAATTTATGGCGTTACAAACGTGAAGAAAAGCGAAAATTCCAAATGGTTAGGCGCGGCAAAACCCACCAATAATTTAGCGATTCGGCCAGGTTTTGCGGGGAGAAAATGGATGACGAGTGTTTATTCTGTCTCCTCTTTCCGTCATTTTCTTTATTTGGCCCCGTTGGTGATATTATGTTCGAGCGATGCGCCTGTTGCCAATTAACAAATACACAAGAAAATATCATTTTCGTCTACACAAATTTCGTAGAAATGGTTATTGCCAGTCATATTGTGATAATAATCCTACACTTTATTGTCACCACAGATGACGTCTATGCCTGTAGTCCAGTCATTAATTTAGCTGGAGAAAATATTATTTTTATGACGGGATTATTTCTTTGTGTGTCTAGCGGAGCCCTCCTGATTATTCATAACGGCAAAAAGAATAAATTGAGTTTGGATCTGAAAAAATCGAGTTACGAGGGCGAGAAAGAAAGAATAATCAAGTACCGAACCTTTGCTGTATTCTTCAATGGCGTCACTTATTTATTCGTTATAATTCTATCTTACGTAATCACGTCCACTGTCATCTACAAAGAGGTCGAAGCTCATTCGAGTTCCAAGAGGGCACTCACCTGCTCGATGTTCTTAAATATCAGCGTTATTTACGAGGTAATTGGGTGGATGTGGTTCCTATCAATCGATGTTTTGATAGGATTTATATTGCACGAAAGAATAAGAATCATTTCGAATGAATTACAGGAAGCTCAAGTTACTTGGCCAAAGAAGAATATCGACCAACTGATAGCTAAACATACCGAATTATGCGATTTCCTGAATGAAATTAATAAAAAATGGAACAAATATGTGTTTCTTCTGTACGGGGTTGTCATCTATCTCGTTTCTTTTCTCTTCTACAATTCCATATTTCCAGGAATACCTCAGTATATTCGAATTATTGTTTGTTTTGTTAATTTACAGCTTGTCATCTTGGTCATTTCTATTTCATTTGCGGTTTCTCGATATTTTGTTTCGGTAATAACAATTTTTATAATATTACAATACTAAAGTGTTAATTTTGTTTCTAATAATATTTAAAATTTCCGCAGTCGTATGATTCCTTTCAAGAAATAAGAAGATTGGGTGCGGCACCTCGTCGACTGGAAGATAAGCTCAAGGTATTTTTATTATATTTCGTATATTAATATGTAAATACAGTTTCTTGATGTCGCGTTGTGGGTACTTTTTATACCCATGATGGGTTTGGGCCAGACCCATAATGGAATGGCCGGGTGGTTGAAATAAGGTCCAAAATATCCGGAATAGACTCGTTTTCGAAGATTTGATCGTGATTCACCAGAGGATAACCAGGTGATTATGGTGGATCATGACCAAAATCTCTTCGGTCATCCAAGAGTTCTTTTAGATCATTCAGAAACTTATTTGTTTTTGCACTAAACACTAAGCAATGTGTATTTAAAGTTTCAGAAACAATAAATAATGTATTTGAAGGTATATAAATTTACAGAAAATCTAACATAATGTTGCATATACAGGCGACCCCTTCATAACACTGTTGATAGTGTCGTTTTATATAAATTCCATGTGGTACAAGTCAGTTAGATTTTACAAATACGTATGCCGGGCTGTGAACGGCTCACGTATTTGTAAAATCTAACCGACTCGTACAACATGAAGCTATCAACAATGTTATAGAG